TCCTCAAAATTGCCCCGATCGCAATATCTTTCTTGTCACGTTAATACCACACCTCTGACAAAAATTAACTTATCGACTCTCTTCAATAGAGCGATAAGTCTTTAAAATTGCTCCGATCGCAATATCTTTCTTGTCACATTAATACCACACCTCTGACAAAAATTAACTTATCGACTCTCCTCAATAGAGCGATAAGTCCTTAAAATTGCCCTGATCGCAATATCTTTCTTGTCACGTTAAAATTACACCTCTGACAAAAATCAATTTATCGACTCTCTTCAATAGAGCGATAAGTCCTCAAAATTGTTCCGATCGTAATATCTTTCTTGTCACGTTAATACCACACCTCTGACAAAAATCAACTTATCGATTCTCTTCAATAGAGCGATAAGTCTTCAAAATTGCTCTGATCGTAATATCTTTCTTGTCACGTTAATACCACATCTCTGACAAAAATTAACTTATCGACTCTCCTCAATAGAGCGATAAGTCCTCAAAATTGCCCCGATCATAATATATTTCTTGTCACGTTAAAATTATACCTCTGACAAAAATCAATTTATCGACTCTCTTCAATAGAGCGATAAGTCCTCAAAATTGCTCAGATCGCAATATTTCTTTCTTGTCACGTTAAAATTACAGCTCTGACAAAAATCAACTTATTGACTCTCTTCAATAGAGAGATAAGTCTTCAAAATTGCTCCGATCATAATATCTTTCTTGTCATGTTAAAATTACACCTCTGACAAAAATCAACTTATCGACTCTCTTCAATAGAGCGATAAGCCCTCAAAATTGCCCTGATCACAATATTTCTTCTTATCACTATAGTATCATACCTCTGGCAAAATTAATCTATTGACTCTTCTCAATAGAGCGATAGATCCACGAATCTTTGTTACGTTAATAATACACCTCTAACAGTTCCAACTCGTTTGAACCATTTGATTCTTATACGTAAGAATAACAAGTGTTCATATACCCATCCCCAACAGATTAAGATTTTCTGAAATTATCACGAATGATAATAAAGAGAATTTTAAGTTGGCACTTACGGATTTCTTTCAGTGTTTATAACAAAAAAAAAAAAAAAATTAACACAGGAAGAATTCTATTGAACGAGTCATATCCTAAGGGAGTGACGAGTACGTATCTCCGACAAGTTAAAGTTTTTTTTTAGAATTATCTTAAATGATAATAAAGGAAATTCTATAAATTTGGCATTCTTCATATAATTTCATTGTTGCAAGTCAGAACACGACACATGCAATAAATAGAGAAAAGCCAAAATCACTCTTTTTATTTTACTCAGAAATATTAAGAAGTGATACAAAAACCTTGTTCTTGTCAAAAAAAGGACAATACACAATTAAGCCCCTGGGCTAGTAAAATTGAAAGACGCGCGCCGGGACTTAATAACATATAGCTTCTCCTCATGAGCGGCTTGTACCAGTACCTTAGCTCTCTTCTTAAGTTCGTTCTCATCCGGTGTCGTTGCGATAGCTTCCTTTTGGATAAGTTCAAGATCCTGGACTGACGAACGATAGGTGGCATAGGTCTTCACGATTTCTAGTGTGAGCCTTTTCAAGATCTCTTCTTCTCGCGCGAGCTCAGCCTCGTGTCGAGCCAACTCCACCTTGAGCCGATCAATTTCTGCACGAGATGTTTGTATGGCAGTATTAGAAGCAACTACGGCCTGTTGCTTTTGAAAACATTGCCCCTGTAAGGATGCGATCTCGAGCTCCTTTTCAGTGATGCTCTCTTGAAGAACTTCATGTCAGCGAGTCGCTTCGGCCCTGAGATCATCGAAGGTTAACGTGATTTGGGCAGCAAGATCAGCACTGTGCAACTCCTCCAAAGCTCTCAGATCCTTCTCCAATTGAGAGATACTCTCTGAATAGTGCTGAAACCAGCGAGCGTCATCAACATATCGAATGTCGCTCAAGAAAGGCATGAGTATTGGTTTAAAAGAGTCAAATGTAGCTCGTCCGGGACCAACCTCCTCAATAGCCACCTTCATCATATCCTCCAGAGGTCGTACAAGAATCTTAAGCATGGAGGGGATGACCACTGGACTTAAAGACTTAATAGGAGATGTAATCGGAGAGCCTAAAATGGTGGACACCGACGCAAGAACTGTTGGCGATGATCGTGAAGAAGCTGGGGAAGCCATAGAAATATCCAGTTGTGAAGGACTGGAAGGAAGAATCATGAGTGTCCCTGCATGGGCTGAACTCAGCGCACTCTCCGTTCCCACAGACTTAAGAGAAATCGTTAGCAGGGGGGTTCTTCTGGTAAAGAAGTAGTCGTTATCGACGTTGGCTCGGGGAGAGAGACAGCTGCTGCTTGCTGTTTGGGAGACAAAGTCTTATCAGTGGCCTCGTGAGTTGGAGAACTTGTACAAAAGAGCAGTTAGCACAAAAGAAAGAAAGGTCTAGAGAAACCAGTAGGTGTAATCTTTACCAAGAGGGGAAGAAGGAACATAAGCAGATGCCTTGTTAGAAGAAGGTGGTGGCGGATCAGCCCAGCCGGTGGAATCTTCATCACCATCACCTTCCTCCTCATCACAATCGCCTTCCTCCTCATCAGCATCATCGCTACGGGAAGAGGTCCCATAGTCTAACGGTTCCTCATCATCCGCAGTCGATAATCTAGGAGAACTTGCAGTGGCATCTGCTTTAGTCATAATGCCAGTCATTGGGCTAGGAATAGTAGCCCCTGTTTGTGGTAGTAACACAGAAGCAGCAGGAGATTGACTTTCATCTGCAGGGGGCGTAATTTCTTCAGTAGGAGACATTGCAAGTGACGTCTCTGCAGTCGAAAGAGTAGCATCTGAAGCCTGACCTGGAAATGGTGAAATGATAGGGTCAAGGGTAGGAGAGGACTCCACATCCCCAATCAATGACTCATCCCCGCCCTCTTCTTGATCCAGAGGATGGTAAGAAGAAAATTTACTAGAAAAAGCAAGACCCCCAGAGCGAAGTCCTGTGTGGAGGGAACGATTTGCAACAGCAGATTCTTGTTCCTCCTCTCTCTCAGCAGACTTGGAAGCATCCGCCATTAGTTTCTGAGAAGGAGGGTCTACTAATAATTTCCTACGAGTACGTTTCTCGTATTGAACTGCTTTTTCTTCGGTAAGTGCCCTCTTTCCAGCTGCTCTGGTTCTTGGAGTTTCAGCAGCCTTAGGGCTCGCTACTGGAGCACTCTCTAATCCCAGATCTCCTTCTCCTTCTTCAGCCTCATCTTCATAAGATAAGAACTCATTGATTCCCTTCAGACGGGATACCCATGATCCTCTTCTGGATGAGTACATCTTCCTAATTTCTCGTAGCCCTAACAAATTCAACCTGTAATCAGGTATCTTGGAAGCTGTGTGATACCAGTTACAGAAAGCTATGGAGAGGAGAGAATTAGGCGTCTTGTGAGGTAACCTAAAGGTAGCTCCAGTGCAGCCTGCGGTAGAGTAGTACCAGGCCCGAGCCCCTTCGTGTATGTTACCAACAATTGCAAGCTGACTCCGGGGATTCCTAATGTATAATTGATCGTATCCAAATTGCCGAGCAAATCTGTAAGGTTGATACGGCTCAATTATACATTTATCACCTTGCCTAAGGAGAAGATAACCTGGTCTAATGTTCAAGAGCCAGTGGAAGACCCCTCCATCTAAACGGGTAAAACCATCCGGGCCAGCTGTATCCTGGAACACTTGCCCATAGCCACCATCTTCAAAGTCTGGGAAACAGCGGAATAAGTGATAATTGAGGTCTCTCGACAAGATTTGACGAACCCTCACTACATAAAGTCTGGGGATTCCCAAGTAGCTCCTTCCAATCTCTGTACAAAAGGGACGAATCCTTCATCCGAGGGAGATGGGGCACTCATCAAAAGAGGACAGTGGGATACATACCATGCCATCAAATAGGTATACGGCAGGGGAACTCGAGGGTTTGGAGTCACCAAACTCTTCTTTTCTCCAGAGCCTGTCTCTTTTACCTGAATAAATTCAAGGCATAGCTCCCTCAAACCGTGCTGCAGACAGCACGTCATAGCTGAAAGCAGATTTACGGGCCTCCCATGAGCCAAGAGAACAGCTGGGTAGACCACTTCTATCATCACAGCATCTATCGGCTTGGTAGGGACTACACACCGCTTTAGCCACAGCATGAGAAAGCCTGCCAACAAGGCCATGTCAGAAATAGGCACAGTAGCCGGGTGGTGGAAACTTTCAAATTTAGTCTGCACAGGGAAATCCTCTTCTAATCCCTCGTTGACATAATGGGCCGTAGCATCGTTGATCAAAGCTTGGATCATCTCAGGGGTGCTCACACTCCGACGAGACACATCGGCAGTTTTGTAGGACAAATTCTAGAATAGATATTCACGTCCTCGTGTCTCCGTCAATTGGGTGCAGATTTGAAAATGACACATTACTTCCCATAGAGTGTCATAGACGTCAGGATGCATCTCCTTCAAAATCCTAAGCTCATTTGACCCTGGGATGAACTCCTCATAGGGCAATCCCCAAAAGGAAGACCCGAAACGTCATACATTTTATGGAGGGCAAACCCTAATTCCCCCACAGGTGTGAAGAATGTACATGTCTCCGGGTTGTATTTCTTCAGAACAGCGAAAAAATTGTAATAGTTGTAGTCAATGCCGCATCTGGTAGCCATTATAGGGCAAATGAGTCCAGATCGAGCCAATGATTCCTCTAGCTCTGTCAACACGAACCATGTCATTCTTGCCCACCACCCCGTTCGGGAAGAATGAACCCATCCGGGGGTTCTGAATACTGAAGGAGGGAACTCCTCTTTTATAGCCAAAAATCTCCGCATGAAAGTGTTGGCTATGCTAGTTGTTTCTCCAACGAGATATCCCCTTGAGAATAGGCAGGGTTCTAAAGCTGACACCTGGCGGTTGTAACCTACAGTGTGTACATCTGTGTAATTCAAAGCCCCGACAGCTACCCCATCCTGCTCCCGGACAAGGTCCCAATCCATATGTCGAGGGACAGAAGCACACTGATAATGGGCAATAGGAAACATCCTATGCATATCAGGGAGGAAGAAGCGGCGATCTCCTACTTACCTCAACCACTTATAGTGGCCGCCAGTCACGATCTCTTTTTGGATGACGACATGATCGCCAAATTTTTACGAGAGTCGGTTTTGAATTTGGCATCTGTCACCAAAATCCTGAGTACAGCTGGGCTTGGATGGGAAATCAGGGTAACACGATCCTTGTCTGCATCCTGAAAAATTAGGAGTTCCTGACGCAGATTGAATTGCATATTTAAATCCATGCCACCCTCGCGCCCGAAATGGTGACGAAGAGTAAAAGGTTCGTGGGAGTAAGGCACTGCAAAAGAGAAAAGTACTCAACTAGTCAACGAGGAAATAAAACAAAGAGAATCTTAGTCAAAATCCTTAGAGGAGTGAGAGCTTTCGAACGCACAGTTCAAACCTGGCATTGAATTTTATCAACGCAGAGGTCAAACTCTGCGTTAAGCTTTCGAACGCACAGTTCAAACCTGGCGTTGAATTTTATCAACGCAGAGGTCAAACTCTACGTTAAACTTTCGAATGCACAGTTCAAACCTGGCGTTGAATTTTATCAACGCAGAGGTCAAACTCTGCGTTAAACTTTCGAACGCACAGCTCAAACCTGGCGTTGAATTTTATCAATGCAGAGGTCGAACTCTGCGTCAAGCTTTCGAACGCACAGCTCAAACCTAGCGTTAAATTTTATCAACGCAGAGGTCGAACTCTGCGTTAAGATTTTAAACGCACAGTTCAAATATGGCGTTAAAATTTTATCAAACGTAGAGGTCGAACCCTGCGTCAAGCTTTCAAACGCACAATTCAGACCTGGCGTTAAAATTTGTCAACGCAAAGGTCGAACTCTGCGTTAAACTTTTTAATGCACAACCCAGACCATGCGTCAAAGTTCATTAACGCAGAAGTCGGACCCTAACGTTTCAAATTCAAAATGCAAAGTCCCGACTCTGTGTTACAATATGAAAACGAGTCATCTTCCTCAGTCACAAGAACCCATCTAGGGTTTTTAGAGAACTCGCCGAAGCATGTTTTGTGGCCATGAAGGTCGATACTTACCACCGACGAGAGAAGCCTGTGTCGACGGCGCACCAGCCTGAGTTTCATCACCGCCGGCAGCCGAGGTTGACCGAGAACTCGGAGCAGTGGCAACGGCCGACCTTTGATGGGAGACAGTCTTCTTTCTCGGACCCATTAAGGATGATGATCGGAGAAGATGAATAGGGTTCACCGGAGTTCAAAAAGAAATATTCGTTAAGCTTTTTGAAAGAAGACAGATGAAAAGTCGGATGACTTTTGATTTGACCCCAGCGGTTTATTTATAGACAGCTGTGAGCTGTCGAATCAGGGCGAGATTCTAGGCCCAGAATCCCACCAAACGCAGCCTGTGCGTCTGCGTTGGTTGAGCTTCTGAACACAGAGTTCAACTCTGCGTTTCAATTTTCAAGCATGCAAATCCACCTGTGCGTTTTAAACACCACTAAATGAATTTCTCGACGTTTAAAGCCAAGACATAGCTTTAAATAAATAGAGGGAAGCAGATGTGGCCATCAAGGTGACCAAAGCCGAGAAGAAACAGACGACTCCGCTGGGGAGTCTGTTGGATGAGTACAAACAGATTACAATCGGCAACGCTAAAACTGTCAAACGCAATTCTGCGCACAACTCATTCTTCTAAGTGGCTTAACATCCCAACAAAGATTAATGAAGCCACGAGCTGTGCACAACTCATTCTTCTAAATCGCTTAACGTTCCCACCAAGATTAATGAAGACAGGAGCTACACGCAACTCATTCTTCTAAATGGCTTAACATCCCAACAAAGAGTAATGATGATATTGCTAAAATCATCACCCCAGTTGAGTTGATCAAGAAAGGAAATAAAGTGGGTCCCTCTGAGGCTGCCCTCCTGACTAAACTTGGGGAAAAGCCATTCTCATATGCGCTTGCAATTCTCTCTGTTTATGATAATGGATCTGTCTTAAGCCCAGAGGTGCTCAACCTCACGGAGGATGACCTCGTTGACAAGTTCGCAGTTGGTGTTTCTGTGGTTGCTTCGTTGTCCTTGACTCTCTCTTACCCAACTCTTGTAGCTGCGCTTCACATGTTCGTCAATACCTACAAGAACGTCCTTGCTGTTGTTGTTATCTCTGTTGCATCTGCTGAGAATGCTGCTGCTCTTGCCTCTAAGGAAAAAGAGAAGAAGGACGAGCCTGTCGGCGAGTCTGACGATGACTTGGGATTTAGTTTGTTTGACTAAGTTCATTGTCATCAAAACTCAAAAGCTATCTTGTTTGGTTCGAGGAAACAGAATTTCAGCATTCCAACAACCAAGTTCACAATGTCTTCAAATCAGACGAAGTGAATAACCAACCAACTAAAATTTTGGGATCCAAAGTATTCCGAAAATTCGTCCCAGTCAACCGCGAACTTTTTGAAAACTTTGGAGGGGGTTTTGTAGGCTGTCTAAAAATCACAATAGATAGCTGATCCCCATCAAGCTTCAACAAACAAAAGCTACAAATAGAGGACTTTTCACATAGATCAAGAAGAGTTACAAATCAACGACACTTCTGACAGCTGATGAAAACTCTATTAAGTAGCATTCATAACCAACTGTGAGAGTTACAATCTGACGACTTTCACACCCCATAACAAGCAAAGATCAATGAGCAGTAGCCTTTGCGATGTTCTCCCAAACGCAGAGTCCACCTCTGCGTTTCCCAAACTCAAAACGCATACGAACTGTGCGTTCTCCAGCAGACATTTAACTCTACAACGCAGAGTTAAAATACAAAATGCATAGACTGTGCGTTCTTCAGCAAACACTCAACCCTGCATCTCAAACTCAAGACGCAGAGTTGAGATTCAGCACACAAGCGGCCTGTGCGCATGCGGCCTGTGCGTTTCAAATGTCTAGCAGAGTTAAGGCCCAGAACGCCAAGTTAGGCGTTTGACTTGTTCAAACACAGGTTGAACGGCCTAACAACCGTTTATCCCATGTTCTAAGGGATTCTCGCCCACATAGGAGCGAATTTAGGGGTTGGTTACACCCCTTATCCCCCTATAAATAACCGCATTACTCAACTGAGTAAAGTGTTGATCGGTCTCGGCAGCTAAACCGCACGGAGAAGGCGATTTTCTTGAAGATCAACGAACTGATCGGCAGTTAGTTAATCAAATCTCAGAGAATCCCTTCACCAACGGCATATCTACTTGGCTATTAACTGAATTTTCAGTTCTAACAACTCTGTTACAGAGTTTCAACTCGCTCTGAGTTCTTAAACTCGTTAAGAGTTCTTAATTAAACTTGCAATGTAAGTTAATTACACTAATCGATTATTCGGTTTTCAACAACTCTTTTCAGAGTTTCAACTCGTTCTGAGTTTCTTAAACTTGTTAAAAGTTCTAAACCGGATTCATCATACAAGTCAATCGTTCTCGTGAGACAGGACAGTCTGATCGTCAACGGAGAGTAAATTCGACGCAGGCATTCGAATGAGGCACTCCATCGCTACCAAGGAGAACCCAGAATTAAACAAAGAGGAGAATCAAATTCATTCTCCTCTCTTTTATAATCGGAATCCAAATTGTAATCGATTTTGAGAGAATACAAATCAATTTTTCTTTCATTTCTTTTACATCAAATTTTCCACAAACAGACATCCCCATGTCAAGGACAGAACTACCATATATGTATTTGATGATGTGGTTGGTCCTCCACCGATCTGATATGATGTTGGCTCCTGACATATCTGATCTGGAGGTTCCTCTTCTACAGATCTTAGGAGGATGTAAGTGGTTGAGTTCATCCCGACAATGGCATGAAGTGGTGAGGCAATTTAGGATTGCTAAGTGTTGGGAGTTTTATAAATGTTTCCCTTGATTCTCAGGTGCATACAATGATATACTCACCGATGAGGAAATGCTTAGAACTAATAGAACTTCTCTCAACATGGGTGGTTTTCATTGGCTTATGAACATCTGACCGGGTTACATGGTTTTCCGATCGAAGAATGTTTGTAGAATTGAGCCCTACCTTCCTTGTAGATTTGCACGACAATTCGGTTATGACCAGTTATATGTTGGGAACCCAAATAGACGGCTAACAATCTGTGGTGGTCTCATAGATGGGGTACGGGCTTGGTTTTGGAACGTTGTTGGCTGTACCGGGCTTATTTTAGCTTGCCTGTTGCTGAACCCAAACTTTGAATGACTTTTCTATATTACCGGTGACTCTTAGCCACTAACACACCCATTAAGAAGAAGAGAATTTCTGAATTAGAAGCCGAAGCTGCTTCTCGACTGGCTACTGAAGTAGTCCGAAGGACTATACCTTCTAGGGGAGAAAAAAGGCCTACCGCATCTTCCTGTAAAGGAAAAAAATTAGCTGATTTAGATGAGAGCGACGAATTTTGAAATGTCTGGAGAAGATGATGAAACTGAAGGTGAAGCTGAAGCTGATACTCCTCCTTCTCCTGTAGCCCACAGGACTCGTCGTGTCGCTCCGCCTAAGTCACCAGATGCTCCCTTAAAGCCAATACAGGTGAAAGGGATGAATATTCCCTTATCATCTTCCAATAGGATGATGGTTAGGTGTGCTGTCCGGGAGGAAGAAGAAGAAAAAGAAGAGGACACCACGCCTCTTATTAGTAGGAAAAGATCCCGATCTCCCACTTCTTCTCAATCTCTACTCCAAGCTTCCCATGGAGTTGAACGACGCACAAAATCTCGTTGTGAGAGTTCTGAGATTTCAAAGGATACTCGTTTGTCCAAGAAGATTAAGAAAATTGCTCATCGACAACGTGACCTTCCACCTATGTCTGAGGAGGAGTCAACCCATGACATTTCGGTTGATGAAGGAGGTAAAATCTCATACTATCTCTCTTTCATTGTTTCATTTTCAGACACAAGATTTTATTTTCTTCTTTTTGTAGAGGGTTAAGAAGAAGGAGAAATTTTAGTTGAACCCTCTTCTCCCGGCTTAATGGACATTGATGAACCGAGCTTCTTCAACAAGTGCACAAAGCGATGGATGATGAGCCCGTCGGTGTTGACGTCGCTATTCCTCCTGTCACTGCAACAACCTCACTAACATCCAACATAGGTACAAATATCTTCTCATTTGGGGGGCAATTCTGAGAGATGAGTGAATCGGAATACGTACCCCTTCTGATAACATGTGCACTTTATCTTCTTTTAGTTAAACTAAAGGAAGTAGGTGTGAGTAGTGGAGTTGCTGATCCTGTCGCTGTCGTTGGAGGTAATTTTAACTTCCATTCGTTTTGGTTTATTCATACCCCTATGTATATAATGATGAGTTGATTTGTCCTATAGACGCTCCCGTGAATGAGCCAAGCAAACAGGAAATTATTCGTGAAGCGAAGATCGAAGGTTTTAATGAACATAATCTTGACCTTGATTTTTCTGAAGATGATCATCAATATATTTCTGATCTGCTATCGGATAAAACCCTGGCTGCAACTACATGACCAACTATTGAAGTTGATACATCTACCATCATTGGTACATCTACTGAAGTCGTTATGAGAGTTCTGAGATTTTAAAGGATACCCTATGTATATAATGATGAGTCTATGTACTTCCAAACTTAGACTCTCAACTGACTTTTTATTCTCCTCATTTTAATTATTAAAAAGGAACTTTGATTATAGGACCAACTGTTGAAGTTGATACATCTACCATCATTGGTGTATCCGATCAGCCCATAGGTTTTGGTTTTTTTCTCTTGGTAGATCCTCCGACTGGAATCGAACCATCAACTATTGCTCATTCAACTTCTGCTATTGTTGAAGCCAAGCCTGCTGTTCCCTTTACTAATTTGACTGAGGATGTTGGTATCTCTACAATTGTTGTGTCTGAACCATGTTCACTTGTTCACGAAGTTGAAGTGTTGAAGACAACTATAGAAGAGCAAGTTAACACAACTTCTACTCAATCTGGTATGTCCCGTCTTTAATATGTTTTGTAGTTTTGATTCACGCTTTTAGAACATTTATCTATCTATCTTTTGTTTGCAGAATCCTCTTCCAAGAGTTTTGGTGACTTGGACCCAAAGCCGTCAGAGGTCTCAGTTGAGCAACTGTCTGTTGTGGCGGGTCCATCAACAAGTATTATTCCTGAACAAGCTCTAGCTGTTGTAGAGACTACATCAATATTGGCAAGCCAAGGTAACCAAACCGTGGAATCTTCCTTTAGACTTGATATATTTTCGTTTGTTGCTGTATACTGACATATGTAGTTCATACTTATTTCACTTGTTTTCATTGTAGATCCTTCTTCGTCATTGTCTGATTCTATCCAAGCATTATTATAAGACGAAGACCCGGATAAAGCTATCATCTGTTCTGATCTTCAAGGCTTCATCTCCTTCTTGAACGCTATGGTCGATCGAATCCTTCTCAAAGGCTCACCTTTTGAGAACTTTAGGAGATCTCTCGATCGCTATACATTAGGGATCAGAGAAGAAGGATATGCTGGATTAGCTGATTCAATCGACGCCTACTTGGTCGACCTTAAGCAACATACCGAACTTTTGAAGGCTCTTCGTATCAACGGTGCTCCTTCCTATATTGCTTCTCGAATGGACTCCAGATTACAAGCATGGCGTGAGTCTCAACACTCAGCCAAACTTGAACTTCAAAAGTTAAGAGCTTGCACTACTCAAATCAGGGTGAATATTGCTAAAAAGACACAAGTCAAAATTGATTTACGTCGAGCTCTAGAATCAAGTCAAGTTGAAATAGCTCGCTTGAAGGAACAACTCGAGAAAACTGAAGACACTTATAATATTCTAGAACTTGATTTGGTGGAAGTGACCCGTGTTGAATCAAACCTATTTCAACAGCTGGAGCTTCAGGATAAAAGGTTTGCCGATAAAGAACAGGAGGTCGCCAAGCTTTAAAACATTGATGAATAAACTTTAAAAGTTAATCTGAAGGCTGAATTAGAACAAGCTTATGCAACGGAACTCTCCAAACTTGAAGATCAAATTCGCCATTATAAGCTGTTGTAATCTTGAGAACACTTTTTTGTATCCGCATTTTCTTTATATCTTTATTTGAATGCTTCATATGAATAAAATGACCCTTTTGTTTATGGATATTTTATCATGATTATTCATTCTTTTTTTAGAATAAATAGACATAATATTCGAAGGATTTATGACAAACCCTCAGCCATCAACGGATTTGAGGTGCCTTTACCGACTACCGTTTGAGTCGGGCTAGTACGTGAATT